TAATTTTTGCATTCATTTTTCTGGTGTGGCAAGAGTATCGCGCGTTAGATATAAAATGCTTTACTTTCAAATGTGGTGCTACTACTCGCTTTCAAACCGTACAGTTTCTTAATAAAAAACTTGTACGTTTTACAAAATCTCGCTTTCTCTATATAAAGAAGAATGTCTGTTTATGTGTGTGTTTGTTCGTTCGTTCGTGTTATTGATTTCTAATCAATTATGATATTTGTTTTGCCGCATTTAATCGACTAAAATTGAATATAGGTGAAATATTGAATGGAACTTCAGCTTTTGCAACCATTTTATTAGAAAGACAAAAATCATTAAAAACTGCCTGCCATTGTTGCTGATATAATGAGAGAGAATTAGTTTATTTTTCTATCGAAATTTTTTACGACGGTTCCATATCGAATCAGATGGTAAAAATGTATGATTATTAATCGTACTTTTTGCATCATTATTAGAGAAGGATTACAGCGGTATCGTTCTCTCTGTGGTTAGATGCATTACTCTCAATCTAACGTAACTGACATCGGGTGCTTACTTTAGTATTATACATTGTTACGGATTTGGTATTTAAATAGGTAATGTTGGTTGAATTATAAATTAAATTGTTTGTAAGAGTATCGAAATCTGTTCGATTAAAATAGACAACAAAACATAAACAAAAATTAAATAATCAGATATGGCGAATATGTGTAGAATGCAAGCAATATGCATGAATGTAAATTATTTTGCATTGAAAAATTTAAAACTATGTTTACTAGCACATTACGGACCATGCTAGACTTTTGCATTATGATGCCTTCGCATAATATAGTTTTGCACAGTATACATACAGTGGTTCCCATTTGTTTTTTCACACTTGTGGGTTTTTCAGTTTTATTTGAAAATATCACTTCCTAAATGTTATTGAAGTGACTTTCACGTATAATATCGATGATCGTTTTTAAAACCTATTGTTTTCAAAAAAATTATTCGTAATATTTCAATTAAAAAAAGCATTTTATTCAAAATATTCTGAAAAAGAACTCATGTAAGCATTCGGATACTTTGAACAATCAGTTGATAAATAAGCATGTGAAAATAACATAGATTTCCTTTCCTAAAATTACAATTTTCGTGTTTATTGGCATGGATTTAATTAATGTTTCCGGGAAAGAATGTTCTGTTTTTCCATAAGAATTGCTTTTAATAGAGCGTTCGAAAAAATGTTACGTTTACTTATTTTTTCCTCTAGTTTACTCTTTACATGTTTGATAGGATTTAAAACCGATAACTATGGAAAAGTTTTGATAACTTCCTGGCAGTTGTATAAAAACAAAACAAAACAAAAGAATTTTGAAAGGTTTCAGATTTTTACACTCTCGCTGAGCTCGCAGACTACCAGATTGCTGTTACGCTCGCTCTTAATAACCTATTTTTTTTTTTGTCTTTTTAGCTTTATTACTAAGCATAATTTTTTCGTACTTACTCCATATACAACTCAATGCCAAAATTAAATGCATAAACGTTATGCTTAATTAAATGCATAAACAGCATAATAGTATATGCTTAAAATTCCCAACTCAGGTTTAACTGTTGGCAAGAAAGTTTTTTTTTTTTTTTTTTTGAGTCTTCTCTCAGTTTATCATATAAAAGTTCAATTTTCTTACTAAGATGACTTTACAAAACACTTTTTTCGTCTTTTTATGATTAATATTTTGTGTGTTTAGTTTATTAAATATCACGTTCTTGGCGTTCACGCCACATAAAATTCGATTCAACAGCAAAATCACAAAATATTTAAAAATAGCATATCTTTAGAATTTCCTACAGATAGTCTCGCGCTTTGGAACTAAATGTGTTTTATTCAATACAGTATTGCCACTGCCTGATTTGAAATCGTTGAGTTTGCTAATCAAAAATTCATTAACGTCGTTTTCTCACGAGTAGCATTCATGTATATTCTTCATTATTTAATTTCTTTAAATATAATATAGGGCGATAGATAATACTTGGTGGGTACAATTTGAAAAGTGATACAACGCATTTAAGCATTTTGATGCAAAATACCGCGTTGAGACTAACATCCCATTCAGGACTAACGTCCCTTTTGGGATAACCAGCGAACATCTAGGGCCATTTGTTTAAGATCGTCATCCCGATAGAACTTGAATGTATTTCGCATTACATATTTTCTTGCAGATTCTTTCAAGTTTTTATAAGATATGTATTGGTCCATATTATTTTCTATGAAAAGTAAATTTCCCATCCCAGAAACAGTGAAACATACCCAAACTATTGTGCTTCCACCTTCATGCTTAACGTTAGGCAGTAGGTTTTCGGATTCAGTTCTTCGCTTGGTTTTCGCTTGACAGCAGTTCATCCATCGGAACCAAATATATTAAATTTTGACTCGTATGCAAGAAGAATATTATTTCAATATGATAAATCTTTGCCACCAGGTATTCTACTAACGTCAAGCGTATTTTCATTATATTCTTGCCGACGAAGAATTTTCTTTCTGTTGATTATCCATAGTAGGCATGCTCCCAAATGACTATTTTAATATAGTAAGGGTTAATTTTTATTGAAATAGGTTTTTTTAAGTCCTCTGAAAGTTTTACAGCATTAAGGCTTTAGTTTTATTTGAATTTTAAACCTCCAGTTCTTTCGCTTTTGCTTAGAATTTGGTCCAAGTTTTAATGCATTTTGAACAGGCAATCTTCAACGTTTTAGGATATCAATGACCGTTGAAGACTTTGTCTCAAGGATTTTTTTTTAATATTTTGAATGCTTTTTACCATTTTGAAAATAATAATTAAATTTCGAACAGAACTTGTCATTAGTTTGTAGCGTCTTTCCATGTTCACTTCAGATGGGGAACTCTTAATATATTTTGTTAAACTTTAGAGCCATTAGGTATTTTTTTGAAAGCAGGAGAGATGAAAAATGAGAAATGCCCTCACCGAGACTCGAATCTCAGATCTCTCGCATACGCGCCGAATGTGCTAACCAATACACTACATAGGCATGCTAAGAAGTCTTGAGAAATACCTTATAAAACAAGTTATAATTTCCAAATGCAGACCATAATTCTTGCAAGTATTTTTTACTTAAAGCAAAAACGTATGACCAGAAACATCAGCTTTCACAACGTCAATAAAACTTTCGAGTGTCATAATTATTATACGAGTTACTAAATAACAGTTTTGGAATAAATTATTTTATCGCAGACAACATTTTGATGACATTAATTTTGTAACAATTCAATTGTCTTATAATTGATAAAAATAATATATTAGGAATCTATATTTAAATAAAGTACAACTCCAGTTATCCGAACTCCGACTATTCGAATCACTTTCAGAATTCAGGAAAAAAATTCAACTTAAAAAATTAAGAATGTGGTCACTCTTAACTTCTCATTGTCAAAGGGATGCTCAACTTGGCTGCCCAAAAACGGATGAAGACGGTCAAACAGCTTACTTTGACCGAGATGTTCAGCAAGCAATGACTTCCAGCACTTGTAAGTACTCTAGAGTATGCTATACTATAACATGTACGTAAAAGTGTTGCCTTTTCATTTAAATTAATTAAAAACCACTATTTCTTTAAAAAATAGTTTTTCCCCCTCCCATTTTCAACATACATTACATACAATTGTTATTGAGTGTACGTAGACACTTTCTTCGGAAAAAATCCAATTATCCGAATGGGGTCCGGTCCCATTTGATGAGCATTGTATCGCTTGTATTGATGATGCATTGATTGTATTAATACAATGCTTAGGAAAAGTATGTAATAATTCTCATATTTCATATTTTGCCTACAGAATTTTCTACAGAATAAATTGCTGTTACCATAAATATATATGAAAAAATATAATCCCATATCTGACAACTTACCTGACTATTTCTGAATTATTTTTATGCTTATTTCAGTTGCTAATAAACCGAAATGCGATTTGTATCGACCCTTACATTTTTTTTACAGAGTGCATTTCAAATAAAAGGATATTGCCAATAAATGTTATCATCATGTATAATTTTTTAAAGGAATAATGAAATGAATGTAACGAAAAAATGTATGCACAGTTAATACTCTATCGGGAGTTCTAAAGGTATGCTGCTTTTAAATATTTTGAGGTTTTGATATGGAATTTAATGCGTTTCATACTTTGTATAGTGGCGCCTGAACTAAAATATAATACGCAATAATTCATTACCATCTGAATTTGATCAAATGTGTTCCGTACTGATTCTTTGTTTGCTAACTGGAGTGAAGGGGAAATAACGCATTTCTTCTGTGAGTCTATTTGTGACACAGTGATTAGCACACCCAGCTAGCAATAGTTGAAAAGTACGACTCGTAGTTCGATTCTTGGCCAGGGCATAGTGATATTTTTATGTTGATATTATCTGCATGTTTAATATGGATAAGAATGCATGATAAAATAACAGACAGAGAGAAAAAAAAAATGACCGCCTGATTAGGATCTCTCGCTCGCTCGGGAAGTGAAGCGATTTTTTCCTGTTTTTTCACTACGAAAATTTCATAATCTTTGCTTGTTTAGTAGTTATAAGAAATAACAGATAGAAAAGTGAAATGACCACCTGATTGGTACGCTTAGACCTTAAAGTCAGGTGGGTTCAAATGATGCCATGAATGTTCAAATGCCCCTCAGAGGCTCACTTTTGTGAGTACGGGTGTGGCAATCCCAAGGTACCCTAGCCCTTCAGGGGATGAGAAAATGATAAAAGTGGTGAATGCGTCTGACAGGTGAGTGAGATTTCTTTATATATTGAATTGAATTGAGTTTTAGCGACAAAGAATGTAAATGCGTATTTACAAATCTTTTTGGTGCCGATAATCCGGAAGAGACCTTTAGATAAAGTAAATTGTGAATTGAATACTGAAAAACTTATTTAGCGAATTGAATAATTTAAATTGTTATGATGGATATTGAAGCTTTAAAAAAGATTAGAGCACCTGTCAGACGCGCGGCAACTGACACTATGAAACTGTTAGAAACTGAAATAAACAAACAGGAAAGATCAGTTGATTTAATTGATGAACTTTTAGCGAAACGTTTAGATAAAGAAGCTAATTTAAAGTATCTTAACGAGGAAATTCTAAAACTGTGCAAAACGGAAGAAATAAAAAAGGAAATTGAAAAACAGCAAGAATATAAAGATAATATTACTTGGAAAGTTCGCGCGAATAGAATCCTTAAAACGAAAGAAAGCGAAGTTGTTCGCGAAACTGAAAGAACGAATGTTGTAGAAACCAGAAGTGAGCAGCAGAATACGGTAAAACTTCCTCGCTTGCAGATACCTCAATACGATGGCAATATATTAAGGTTTCACGAATTTTATTATCAGTTTGAAGTAGCTATCCATAAAAATGTGAATCTTAGTAATGTAGAGAAGTTTAGTTATTTAAAATCGTACTTAACAGACGAAGCTGAGGTAGCTCTACGTGGTTTAGCATTAAGCTCTGAAAACTATGAAATTGTCTTGAACATATTAAAAGAACGCTTTGGTCGAAAAGATATTATTATCGATGCGCATACGGCAAGACTTTTAAACTTAAGTCCAGTACGAAAATCATATGACATTATAGCGTTGCGTAGACTTTACTCAGAATGCGAAACACATATTCGAGGATTAGAAAATAACGGAATTAATCCTAATAGTTACAGTTGTCTATTGTATCCAGTGTTGTTAAAATCGATACCCAAAGATTTGTCCTTAGGATTTTCTCCTAAAACACATTCGAGAGATGAAAACAAAATATCTGATTTATTGGAATTTTTAAAAATTGAAATTCAGTGTCGTGAACGTAACGAGTACTTAAGTAGAGACTTTAATTTAAACACTTCAGATTCGCGATTGGAAACTAAATTTAATCCTTTACAAAAACCTAATGAAAAGTATGGGAGATTTAATAAAACCAAAGTTGATTATAGCGGGAAAAATAAATTAAATTCGAACATTCCTACTACTTCTGCATTCATTGTTGATGTGAAAAAATGTATATTTTGTACAAAACCGAAAATAGAGCACGATTCTACCTCTTGTCCCTTATCGGTAAAACAGAGAAAATTAGTTCTTAGAAAATATGGTATATGTTACGCTTGCCTTTCGAAGGGGCACGTATATAAGCAGTGTCAAAAGAAACCTATTTGTGGAATTTGTAAACGTTTTATGCATCACGAATTGATTTGCGATCAACCCAATGTTTATTCTTCTTCCACCTCTTTGGAGTCTCGTCAGACCGTCGACGCGAATAAATTAAATGTTGTGTCTTCCGTAGCATGTGTGAATGAATCAGATGATTGCGACATACTACTTGAAACTTGCTCGGCAGTATTAATAGGCAATAATAAAAGTAAAGAGGTTAATATTCTTGTTAGATAATGCGTCACAGAGATGTTTTTTGAGAAAAGAAGTAGCCGTAGAAATGAAACTACCCATAATTAGACAAGAAAGTCTAGCTGTTTACACTTTCGGCTCTAGAGTGCCAATACAAAAAACGTATGACGTAGTTCGGTTTTTCACTTTGTAATTTATGTGATTCGGACAAGAAAATAACGATTGAAGCACTTTTGACTGACTGTATTTCTGGATCGCAGTTTAAAGTATCACATTAACAAATTAATGCAAATACTTTCGAGGAAGAAAGAACTTGTCAAACCTAAGTAAATCGTCAGGAAATGAATTGTCTCTCCTTATTGGAGCACAATATTTTTGGGATATTCATACGGGGGAAAAACAGCAGTTAAATAAATCTTTGTATTTGATTGATACTCTGTTTGGAAGGGTTGTTCAAGGTCGAATCCCTCCATCAGATTTAAACGCGAATCGGGATATTTCTATTATGAAAATTGAATGTTGCGCCGCATTAAATGAAAAACTAACGCAGTTTTGGCAGTTAGATTCAATGGAGATAAATGAGACTGAACAGTGGAGATTTTAAATTTAAAGAGGAATTTATTTCTCAATACGAAACTAATTTAAAATATGAAAATGAAATGTATACAACTAAATTATTCTGGGACGGTAAACCAGAAAACTTGTCTAACAATTTCGCGGTAGCAAAACGAAGATTTCGTAACTTAAGTGTAAAAATGAAAGAAAATGATTGGGTTTATAATGAATATAAGAATATAGTTAAGGAGCAATTAAAACTGAATATCGTTGAAGAATGTCCTTTCAGCTTAGAAGAGAATTCTTATTATATGCCTCATTCAGCTGTAGTAAGATCGGAAAGGGACACTACGAGAGTCAGATTGGTTTTCGATGCATCGTCAAAAGGCAATGGGTGCAAATCTCTTAATGAATGCTTGAATCCTGGGCCGCCGTTGAATCCCAAAATTTTGGATGTAATCTTGCGATTTCGCGAATATGAATATGCATTCAGCTGTGATATTCAGGGAGCATTTTTGGCCATAGGAATAGCGGAAGAGGATAGAGACTATTTACGTTTTTTCTGATTTCCAGATGAAAGTGATTCAAAAACTTACAAAATTTTACGAATGACTCGCGTTCCCTTTGGAGTGACATCAAGCCCATTTATCCTTGCTGCGACTATTAAATACCACAATAGAAAATATAAACTTGAACAAAGCGAAACTTGTGAAATGCTTGACTCGGCACTTTATGTAGATGATCTTTTTTACGGAGCAAATACAATAGAGAAAACTTTAGAACTTTCACAGAGCGCTGTAAAAATTCTTAAAGATGCGAACATGAATTTAAGAAAATTTAATACTAATTCGGATGAGTTGAGAAATTTATGGAGTGAACGAGGTTTGTCTGATGTTGACAGAAACTAAAGAACGTCCTTTGAAGGTTTTAGGCATAATATGGAACACCGAAGAAGATACTTTTAAGTTAGATGTAAAAACCTCTACTGGACATGACCTGTGATAGGAAGAATTCAAAACGTAGTGTACTTCAGACAGCTTCGAAGTTATTTGATCCTATGGGAATTGCATCACCTTTTATTGTTCTCATAAAATTATTAATGCAAGAAATATGGGAACTTGGTTTAGGATGGGATGATGAGCTATCAACTGACTTGAAGAAAAAAATGGGATAATTGGTGCTCTCAGATTTATCTGTTGAAAGATTTGACAATCGAAAGAAAATATTTCTCCATACCATGGAAGTTGGTGAAAGAATTAGAACTACACATATTTTCTGACGCTTCTCCTAAAGCTTTCGGAGCAGCAGTTGCGTACTTCCGTTACGTGTCAAGTGATGATTGTATTTATACAAGTTTTATCACTGCGAAATCTAGAATCGCACCGCTTAAAAGGTTGACATTACCGAGGCTTGAACTTATGGGAGCTGTTATTTCTTCTAGACTTTTCCAATATTTGAAAACAAATTTTAAATTTCCTGTGCCTAGGGTATATATGTGGACAGATTCCTTAATCGCTCTTCATTGGATTAAAGGGAAAGCTTCAAAATGGAAACCTTTTGTATCGAACCGTGTATCCGAAATCCAGTCTAGAACTGATCCTGCTGATTGGAATCACTGTAGTGGGCAGGATAATCCTGCAGATTTCATATCTCGAGGAGCTACCGTGGAAAAGTTTATGTCCAGTTCGATTTGGATGCAAGGTCCAGAATGGCTTCGGTTGAAGAAAAGGGATTGGCCAAAAGGCTCTAATTATGAAATTTGTCTAGAGATTTCTCCAGAAGTATATTGCGAAAAAAGAAGTAAACTGGAAGAAGTATCGTCTTTTGTGTGCGAAGTGCAATCGAATTTGACACATTTAATGGATTTGAATAGATATAGTAGTTTAAGAAAATTATACCGTGTTACAAGTTGGATACTACGATTTATATACAACCTTAAATTTAAAACTAAACGATGTGTGTGAACTAAGCACTGAAGAACTTAACGAGGCTGAAATTATCTGGACAAAAACTGTTCAAAGTGAAGCTTTTGCGGAAGAGCTGTCCTCTTTGAGACAGGGTAAAACAATTTCTAAGACTTCCTCTATTCTAGAACTGAATCCCTTTCTTAATAATGACGGGATAATGCATGTTGGTGGAAGACTTCAGAAGTCAAGACTTTCTTACCTTCAAAGACACCCAATTATTATGCCCTCAAAACATCACTTTGTGAATTTATTAGTGTGGGATGCACACAGCAAAGTGTTTCACGGTGGAATTTCTGAAACTTTGATAGAAATACGCGAAAGATACTGGATAATTAAAGGAAGACAAACTGTTAAAAATATCTTAAGAAAATGTATTCTGTGTAAACGATTTAATTCTTCTCCTGGTGTGCAAGTTACTGCTCCTTTACCAGTAAATAGAACAGAAGAATTACCTCCTTTTTCTGTAGTAGGTATAGATTTCGGTGGACCACTTTATACCAAAGACAGTGATGAGAAAAACTACATCGTGTTGTTTACTTGTGGAGTAACGCGAGCTCTTCATTTAGAGTTTGTTGGTAGCATGACCACAGAAACATTTCTTCTTGCTTTTCGACGATTCATTGCTCGTCGAGGTCTATGTTCTCAGGTTTTGACGGACAATGCCAAAACTTTCAAACGATCGGAACTTGAACTTAAAAATATGTGGACTGCCATTAGTCATCCAACAGTAAAAGACTTTTACGCCTCCCACAAAATCCAATGGTGCTACATCGCTGAGAAAGCTGCGTGGTGGGGTGGCTTCTATGAAAGACTAATTAAATCTGTAAAACTTGCTTTACGAAAAACTCTCAGAAAAACTACTTTATCTCGATACGAATTAGAAACTCTAATTAATTATTGAAATTGAAGGTGTTCTTAACTCTCGTTCTTTAACTTATGTTTATTCTGAATTACAGGAACCTATGCCTCTAACTCCAGCTCATATGCTATTGGGGCGCAGGATGAATAGTTTGCCTCCTGCCAGGCTTCATTTTGATTCTAATTTAGTTAATAGGAAAATGCTAATTAAAAGATTTAATTATCGAGAAAGATTGGTAAGTATGTTTTGGAATAAATGGAAAAATGAATACTTATTAATGCTGAGATCTGTTCATTGTGTTAAACCTTCAGGTAAAATTACTGAATTTAAAGTTAATGATATTGTATTAATTCATGATGAAAAGCTACCTAGACATTTTTGGAAATTAGGAAGAGTTGTAACAGTATTTCCTGGCAGAGATGGAAAAGTAAGGTCTTGTGAAATTAAAACAGGTACATCAGTTATTAAAAGACCTGTGCAGCTTTTATATAATCTTGAAATAAATGAATAAATTTAATTGTTTATTATATGTTTATTAATCTGTATTATTGTTACAGGACTATTCCATATATGTGATGAAAGTTTAATGTATGTACAGGTATTGAGTTGCCAGCTTATTATCTTTATTATACTTTATTGCAGGTAACTTTACAAATTGTTTAAAGATGAATGATTTGTTTATATAGTAAATAAGTGTAGTTTCTTTAATATGTGAATTGATTGAACTTTACATTGTAAGAGTTTCTTTTGTTAAATGTTGTTAATGTAAGTGTTTGAATGAACCCCTGGTCATTCGGGGGGCAGTCTGTAGAAACTGTATTGCACCAGATGGCGCTGTGTGCGCTTAAATTCTTCGGACTAGTCCAGAACCTTGATGATTGCGAAAGATGTACGACCAACGCGAAACATTAACCAAAGATTACATGTGCCTCTCTTTGTTGTAAATGTATTTAATTGTATCGTCAATAAAATATTGAGAAAATGATAAAAGTGGTGAATGCGTCTGACAGGTAAGTGAGATTTCTTTATATATTGAATTGAATTGAGTTTTAGCGACAAAGAATGTAAATGCGTATTTACAGGGCATCATCTTCTTGGTGAGACAGGTGTCACGATCCTGGAGCCCCAGTAATCTATCCTCTTTTCCGTCTCCTCTCCACTTACCTGATACTTGTTTCCTTCCATTCTCGCTGTTTTCCTCTTCGGAAGTTGGGGCTCCTCACGAGAAACTGGAACAGCCCTTGTTTCTAGTTTTCGAGTGGCGAGAAAACTGCCCACGTGTTTGCCGTGCGGGGTGACCCGTGTCGCTAGAAAGGAGGGTTCTGGTAGTTGAGGGGCGAGGTACTGTCCCCAACGTGCTGCTTTCGCCTTTGCTTCAGATAAACAGGAGGCACTTTAGTCGTTCTCACGGGTGTCAATCGGCTGGTCACTAGTCCTTGTGTCAGCGGCTTGGGGATAAGCTCTCGGGAGTACCTGCTTTCAGGAAAGCCGACTGTGGGGCTTCAGTTTGCGTATAGGTATAGGTTTTTAAATCCCACCTTGGGAAAATGCACGGATTCAGCTTCTTAATGTTTTCAACCATCACGTGAAGGCAAGCACTAACGATACTGTTTACAGACAACTCTTTGCTGAGCACAGGCATAAATATAGCAGTTATCCTCCAGTATATACAGATGGATCCAAGTCAAATGTTCATGTTGGGATGGCATTTGTAATTGGAGATCGCATAGAGGGCAAACGTTTGCACAACGGTTTCTCAGTTTTAACATCTGAATTAACTGCAATCTACGAGTATTATGGTTTTTTGTACATCTCAAAGCTCTGCCGCAAGAAATTCATATTCTATACAGAATCGTATAGTGCGCTGAAAGCATTAGAAGCTTTTTCCGACACTCAAAATGTTGTTATAGTGGATATTCTGAAGATACATATAAACTTAACGATTCGTGGATATGAAATACTGTACTGCTGGGTTCTCGGACATACAGGAATAAAGGGAAACGAGCTGGCGGATGTCACAGCGAAATCTGTCGTTGAACCGTCCATTCACCTCATCCCTTTCCGAGATATCTGTTATGTCATCAAAGAAAAGATCCAGAAAATATGGCAGCAACTTTGGGACATTCAAGTTGACAACAAGCTGAGAAGTGTAAAGCCTAGAATTGAGTGTTGCTATTTTAAGAGAAATCGAAAAGGAGGAAGTTCTTTTGGCTCGCCTCAGGATTGGTCACACTAGAGTGACACATAACTATCTTCTGAAAGCTGAAAATGAGCCTATTTGTTTAAATTGTAACGTTTGTGTATCTGTCCGTCATATTTTAATTGAGTGTCCAAGTTTTAATAATCTTCGTCAGAAATATTTTAATAGCTGTGACTTACCTCTCGACCGTTTAATCGGAAGCCAGGTCAATTGTAATTTATTTTATTTTTTCAAAGAGACTGGCTTTTATTATATAGTGTAATCTGTCTTGAAGATTGTGTATTGTATTTTAATGTGTGTTTTTACCTTGTTTTTATATGACTTCATCCTCTGGATTTGGCAAGCAATTTCAAAGCATCATTCATTCATGATTTCATCTACCTTGTGTTTGGGGCATTATAATCATTTTTAGCTTTGCGCCAAAAACAAATCTCACCCACCCACCCACAACTGTTCAAATGATGCATGAATGAGTCTCTTCGCGTCAGGAAACGTATAAAAAATAAGCTATGACGTCAACTGTACTTAAACCATGGATATCTGAACTTCTAGCTAGACGTGCTACCATTTACACTGCAAGAAAGTGAACGAGGGAAGTCGATAATTGTTTATAAGCACATGACACTTCCTTCTCAAAGTTTAAATAAGAATTAAGAAATTATGGTCAATGCCTATGGTAGAATAGTAGGATAGGAATTCAAAACAATGACTGAAATGTATTGAATTCAATCTCTGCTTGAGCATAAATTTATCACCCATAATTAATGACGAAATATTATTTAGTGTAATGCAATATTGATGTATTTATACATTGACAAAAAAAAAAAAAAAAAAAAAAAAAAAAAAAAAAAAAAAAAAACTAATCTAACTACTAATTAAACTCAAGGGTAGAATCACGATTATTTGACAAAAACAAAATTCGAAAATGCACTTTCACCCCAAAATCTTTAACACGCTATCTCTCACTAAATTAAAACTAATTTAGATCTCTAACTTGAAAACACATAAATTTCAATACAAAATCTAGAGATAGCCTTAAACCCTTAACATTTCAAATACCACACAGATCTCTTCAAAACACCAGGGAAAGATACAATCTCACAATTAAGAAGTCTACTCATCAAATCAAAATAAATTCAGTAAACCGATCGTATAGTCACCAACTCTTAAAACTTATTTTTTTTCCCTACTACCGCAATATAAATACCCAAGTTCGAGTAAAATAACCATGTTTCCGTAAGGATCACATGGGTGACCTACAATAGACCACAATTAATACACAAAAGAAACATACAATATTAAAAATAATAAACACATTTATTGAAAATTCCCACACATTATAATTTAAGATAGCTGGCCAGACCGCCCCTATAAAAATCTTTTAAAAGTTACTCATAGTTTTTTTTTCATATCAATCTCATATTAAACATTATTCCATTAATACAAATATCATAGGGAAACACGTCACAGTTCTTAATCATTTTAAACAGGAACTCAAGAAGATTAAACTCATTTATAAAAGCTAATTTAGAATAAATCATATTGAACATAGCACTTAATATTAAAACAAAGATTCACTTCCTCCAAATAGTTCAATTAACTTCTGACTATTAAACATTAATAAAAAATTTACCTTCTCAGCTAGAAATTTAGTAACAGTAAATATTCAATTTTCATCTACTTAAACATGACAGCTCTTGCTTTAGTATTAAACATTTCCAAATTTATAAAGATTAATTATCAAAAGAAAAGCACCAACGAAAATATAAAGTCACTCACGAAATCCGTGTACACACAGCTGAGAGACTCTGGGAGCTGCCCGGATCCGGTCACAAATCGCCGAAACAATAACTGCCAAATCTTCATCGTTTTCAGGAACCGGACTTTTTCATAGTTCCAGCACTAGCCTCCGTCAAGCAGCATTTTAATTCAACAAAATCAACTTCCCGATTTTGAAGTTCCACTGAAGATAAGAGAAGGAGGTCGAAACTGGGGACAACAGACCAAGACAAACCTCAGGAGATGACGACGTTCCATATTTTCCAAAGCAAAATAGAAACTCCAGCACGGGGAGTTCAAACTCTTACACAATTGGGAAAAAAATATCAGCAACGAAATTGAAAATAATAGCCCGCAAGACAGAAATTGCCGCCGTCAACATGAGGAGCATCCGCACTATCTCGGACACTCCGTAACCAGAATCTCGGAGATAAACAGCTTTAACTGTAAACCGCGGTCGACCCCGAAGAACCGCCGAGTTTAAACTCGGTTGACACTCACCAAGAAACGCCTCAAAATCACTATTGGCTCAAACAACACTAAAAATTAAAAATTTAACCAATCTTAAGGAAACTTGGATTCCCTCTAGCCAACTAGGAAAAAAGATAATAAATAGCCTCTAAAATTCTCAGAAATTCAGAACTTTCTACAAGATGACAGACCCTTTCTTTCCCACACAACAGAAGAATGTTTCCAACCTGTAACTCTGTCAAAATATCGCCGCCCCTTAGAACTATTCGCCTCTGAACGAGCAAAACACGTGTTTTCAACCCCCACGAAAAGAGGAAAATGCAGCTGGACAGTGACCTCAAACCTCCAAAGAAACCGACTCGTGAGAAACGGAAATTCACCCGCGCCCCTTTTAACTGTAATACATATTCTGCCAAACTTAAGGGAGCTTTGCCGTGAAGTTTAACAATATTAAATATTATACATTAATTTTAAATAAGCTCAATACAAATTCATTAATCACAGTAAAATTATATAATTACTAAAAATACCTTTATGCACAGTAAAATAACACGTAATAATTATACACAACAAAAAATACATAAGAATTTTC